CTTGGGAGATAAAAAAAAACTGCAAGTTAGTGCTGGAATACAAACGTTTCATGACGCAATGAAACTGACGCATTGAAGAGCTCAGGTACTAGATAGGGAAACTTTGTTGCCCAGAGCAGTCTTTTCCCCCTAAAAGTGTACCAGCAGATATAAGTGAGCTTATTCCATCATGTCTCATGCTTGCTTCCATGTCTCCAAATGTGAAGCATTTTCTTTAAAGTGGCTAAATTCATACTCTTTTTAGTTTTTGTTCAAGCCTTTTAATTCGATAAGTTTCTGGGATCAGCGCCCACGCTAAGTGGTGCTGAATGTGTGAGCCCTGACACCATCATTCGATTGTTGAACTGCAGGTCAACGGTAGCATTTTACGGCGAAAACTTGAGTGGATATTCCGCATTTAAAGGCCTTGGGTCAAGCATCAGATAAAACGAAATAGGCTCACTTTTGACTTTTGGTTTATTTTTAAAGTGAATGCTCTGCAATTCAAGGCACTGAAGCAGGCATCAGATGTGGCAAAATAAGGCTGGTCAAAACAACAAAATTTCATTATTCAGTAAATGTAGTCCTCAAGAAGTTATTATTTGCTTGCGTCATGGAACTCTTGTATGATGTCAGAGTGTCTGCCAGACAGGCCATGCGAGATTGCCACCGTAGCGGCCGAGCTGACTTGGCTACGGCCCTGCAGTAGTTCAGCTTGCCGAGCGGTGTCGTGCTAATCGTTGCCTGCACGAAATAGTCTGCACAAAATAGCCTGAACAAGTTCGTGGGCTTCAAGCTCGGAAACCAAAGACCGGGGGGTTTTAAAGCTTGAAAAGGGCGGGGCTGTGAACTGCAATGGATGGTCTCCAAAGTGACTACCTCATTTTAAAATCCGATACAAATGTGCAGCACTCCCTTCAACGTACCGGGACGCTACAAGTCAATGACAATTACGGCCGTCCTTGAATATATGCGCTTCAGGGTCATGGTGGCATTACTTCACGTAACACCTACCCTGTCGATCGGCACATATTGTATTGAAATCTCAATCATTATGTAAAGATAATGTATATATATATATATATATATATATATATATATATATATATATGTATGTGTGTGTGTATGTGTGTCTGCATGTATGCATATATGCATAGTTCCATTTCTCTATACATAATCAATGACAGGTTTACTCAGGCCTGTCATCCTTTCCCCCGGCGGCGCCGACCGCTCTTGCATGCATTAAGTTGACAACAGCGTCACATACGACGGAGAGTCGTAGTAATTAGGTTACAATAGGCATCAACTGCAGCGGTCATTTACACCCCAGTGCCGCAGGTAGACAACCGCGGCGTGAACTCCAATTACGGGTAGCCGGTGTCGGGTTTGTGCAGAAGTTTTGGACCGCGTGATGTCGTGGCAGGCCTGACCGGAGTGAGGCAGTGTGAGCAGTATGGATCGGATCATCCGCCGATCATTTGACAGAATTGAATCTCACCATGGTGCTGGGCACCCCGTTGCGGGATACCCCATGGGGTTCAGAGAGCACACACGACGATGTGGGCTGTTATCACTGAGCTCCAAGCAGGTTCCCAACGTGTCGGAAAAACCTTGCGTCCAAGAGGAGACATCATACACATCAACATCGACTCTTGAGAACAGGCATCTCAAACTCCCAAGCAGCATCAGAGTCCCCACTCGACCCCGTTTTCAACAGATCGTCCGCATCACAGATACAACGAATGTTTTCTCTCTTGAAAATGGAATAGGGCTGCTAAGCCAAACGGTCTGAATGATGATAATGACTTCACGGGTCTGTGAGTCCTCATCTATCACTGAAGAATATTGATGTCTGAAAGAACAAATGACAAACCAGTACGAATACAAACATGGCAGACAACAACACAGCTTTGTGTAAATGCAAGGAAAATAGGATTTACTAGGTAAGTTGCCGTGGACAACTCTGCTTCAGGTAGATCAACGCAAGCCCGTCAATCAATTGTAGCAACGGGATGACGTGCGAGAGAGAAAGAGAGAAAAAGGGTAGCTGATACGAAATTTCTCCCGATGCCTGGCGACAAGGGTGATCTGCACAGGGCTGGAGCAGAGGGCAGAGTTGGTGGCGTTTTTGGCAAGGCTTTATAATTACCCTGCCGCTGTCTGACACCTGGGCCTCCAGCCAAGGTCCCTTGCCAGCTGCCTCCGCATATCTCCGCAAATGCCACACTTTGGATCGAGATAAGCTCCGAGGCAGTGGGCCCGCACTTCTGCCAGGCAGAATGCGACCCACACGATTGCAAACCCATGTTAAATTGCACTTATTCCGCTCGTCTTCCTGTTTTTTAAACGTGCACGTTGTGCAACTGATTACCTGATGATCAAATGGGACGTGGGCCCGCCATTCCCAGCCTGAGAAATGGTAGATTGCTGAGTAAACAGCGACTAGGTGTGAATGCAAATATTTTACATCATCCCAGCCCAGTCGGCCGATACCGACGGCAGCTCGTCACTACGCCTCACATCTAGCAAGGGCTTATCAAAAGACAAACTGCTCACCGAGATAAAATAGAATACTTTGGTTAGGAACACAACACATGGCGAAGATGCGCATGCAAGTCGAAGCACCCTCGTAGAATGGAATGTGGCCCTACAGGATGATTGGATGACTGGTGGGCGGGGGTGGGGGGGGGGGGGGTTAGGGTGGGGTGGGGGGGGGGTAGGGTGGGGTGGTGGGGGGGAGAAAACAAGGGTGGGCTGGACCCAATGCTATTCCATTCGACCCGTCAAAATTGAAGTCCAGGTCGGGTTGTCAAACTCGAGGTTACCATACCGCAGGCACCGCATCCACCCCGTGTCTCACACTGGCACTGGCCCCTTGTTAACAGCAGTCCTTCTCCTTCCCCTCCGAGTTTGGCACGCATGGTCGTAGCGGACGTCCCCGTGCCCCATTGACTGCGTATGCCATGCCATGTGTGCCATGGTCATCGGTCATCGCAGACAGCCAGCACCCCATTTGACACAGGGCCATGCTGCAGCATCTCACCAGAGACAACGGAAGGAACAGGAATGGGGGGAACAATATGGCGGACAAACATGGGGGACAGAAATACAATTTTACTAAAAAGCGTCTAAGCGATTTGAAGCCTGAGCAAGTTACCAAAAAGCAGCAAAACATCTCAGCTAGTGTATAGAATCATCGCCCCCAATGCACTGACTTTTACGTGTGTTTTTCTGGAGACATTTCCGCATGCGCATGTTCTCTAAAAATATTTATCAGGAAACTACGTGCCTCTGGCGGCCGCTTCCCCTAAGTGGTCTACTGGATTCGCATTATGTCTGGCGCAATGTACAGCCGCGCCTTCGTGCGCTGTTCATAATTATAACCATGTCTCTGAGGTTGGGGGAAATCGCTTGCTGAGGACCGTAGAATTTTGATGGGGACAGCCTGATCTGAAAATGTCATGGCTCATTAAAAAACGTGAAAAAACGTGCATTGTTGCGAGGTCAAATTGGGAAGAAAGAAATGATACTTTTAAAACTGAGAGACTGTCTCCAGCCCATCTGGTACCAGCACCAGCAAGCTGAGGACATAATTTGAAAACGTCCCGATGGTGTTGTGCAATACATTGATTTGATCACGTAGTGCATTATCATGTACCTCTGTATCACAGGAAGTGTATGTGCTCAAAATGTGGAATTTTCACATGCACGTTGTGTTTTGTGGTTTCTCCTGGTAATACTATCCACCAGACCGTGGTGTCTTCTGGACTTTGTTCAGAAAGCTCGCGTCTACCTTTGGCACTCCTCGAAGCACACGGAAACAGGTAATCTTGCCACGCGAGATTACCATATACCATAATATACCAAGATATATTAAGGGGATTCAATCTCTGGCAACCTGTTTGTGTTCGCGCACAATACGCAGGGTGAAAAGGCCACCCATAGCCACAGCTGTCGGTGATGGTACCATACCAGCGTGTTTGGTCAACGCAGTGTGTTACCCGTGAAGGAGGCGCTTGCTACCCCGGGGCTTTACTGGCGGTGCCGACGCTCCTCGACCCGGCCGCGGAAGAGTCTGTCGTTGCATGTGGACTTACGCAAGTAGCTCGCGTGGTTAAAGGAAAACGGTTAAATGAACTCGCTGGGCTGGTGACGTTCTGCCTGAGTAGAGTCGCTCGTTCGTGACAGGAGCCGTTGTGGTCCACACTCATTGGTTTGCAACGCTTGTCTGTTTGACGAATTGGATGTAGTTCTGAACATGCGAACCGCCTCACCTCAAAACCATACAGAGGTCCGCCGGTTTGCCGCGTGGTACTTCATCAGGCTCAAAGAATGACCATTTTTAATCGGCTGCGAGCTGTTAACACGTCTTTACGTTGTTCACTGAATGAGATGCGATCGCACTCATGCCTACGTCAAGTGTAGATGTTCAAAGACCGACCAATCGTTGAGCTCGGTGGGCATGCGTCACAGTCCCCACAGCGTACATTTTATAAAGTCTGCAGACTGTAGCGAGTAGACCGTGTCGTCAGGGCTTCCCCCAAATTGCAGCAGCATAGACACACAACGCTGTATAGGGCAAGAGGGGCGGGGGAGGGGGGCGTCGCGCGGATGGTGGCCATTCGTGTAGTAACGCCTGCACACTTCGCAGTCAGCTGATCGATGTATGGCTGACAGCACAGGCTTCTGTCATGACAACACTTTACTGTTTACCGTTGCTGCTTTAGTCACTGTTGGCGCCCTCTTCTTGAGGCCATCTGTGTGCAGTGGTTTGATTGCTGCAAGAGTAACAGTGTTGACGTGCAGTTAGGCCGATCCAACTCCAAGCGGTTTAAATCATTAATCACATGGGATGGTAATTACCCGATTCACAACATCAAAACGCATCATCGCGCTTCAGGTAATTGGCTCATGTGAATTTGATGCTGAGTGCAGACGCTCGTTGTGATAGCGGCAGGTGTTTCGGACAGAAAAAGTCAAGTGAGACGCCAGGTGCTTCATTCAGACCCGTCTGATCCGACATGCTGGAGAGTGGTACTGAGTACATGCAATGCAATCCAGGTCAGGCAGGTGTTTTTGTATCTATCCAAAAGCCTTTCATGCTGTGAACAAAACTTTACCATTACGCGGGCGGTGCCTCCTTTGCCCCATCACGCTCGTGTACCCTCCCGTGCTGGCCGTGGCTTTGTGACCTGATGTTCGGGCTATACGCACTCCTTGCACCTGTAAGGCCCTGTTAGCAAAGAACGGGTCAGAGATTTGAGCAAGACCAATCAACTGACAACTAATGCATGACTGAATGAGAGGTAATGAGTGGGTAGTAATGAGTGTAATGAGGATAGTAACATGACTAATGAGTAGTAATGAGTAGTAATGCAAACGGCGCTTAGTTGAAGACTTTCGCAGTACCTTCAAGACATCAGACCAAAACCAAATGAATCGGGGAAGCTGGCTGTTAGCGATGCCTGGCTGATGATGAGCAAACAAAACTATTCCGCGAATAGGCCGCTCATTCCAGCCACAGCTGGCTCGGCGCGTCATAGCTCACCAACTGACATCATACCACGGCAGTCAGCTGCAGTGGGCGGGCGTGGCGTGCGAGGCCCTCTCCGACCTGCAGCGTGCGATCCCCGTCCGCCTGGCAGGCGTACCGCCTGTCAGCCGGCCTGGCGTACGAGGCGCCGTCCGACGCGTGCGGCAGCCGCTGGCAGTCAGCTGCGTGCTGGGCGTCCCACTTAGAAAGGGTCGCGTGTAACTTCCGCAGTAATGCACATCGCGCCCGGAAGATGTAGACACCGTCGGGGGGGGGGGGAGGGGGGGGAGGGTTGCCGGACGGTGCGCCACGCTGTGAATCTGTTGCGGCTGCTGCCGGCGCGGGTGGCCCACATCCACAAGTGAATGCCAAATAAATATTTGCCTGTTTATGCCCAAATGAATATTTGCCAAATAAATATTTGCTCGGCAACTCATATTACCGATTGCCTGTCTTAAGGACAGGCAATTGATAATATGAGGGGCCGAGCAACTTAACATGAAAGACGGCATTTTTTCAAGACAAAAAATACTTGTTGCTCTTGATTTTTGAAACTGTTGGCTAAATGAAAACTTCACAAATGACCGATTGACGAGCAGGGCTCATCTGTGTAAATGACATGCTGATGTTTTCTTTAGAGAAAACCCACTTGCGTTTTCCTCGCTTGTTGCATGAACACATGAACACAAACACTGTACACTATACACATCAAAGGTTTTATATTTTCATCACGCTTGCGAGGTAGACCTAAGCACGCGTTTGCTGTCAGGATGACCGCCGTAGCACGCATGCATACAGCGGGCCTACTCTGATTTTTTTAGTCTGAAAATCAAAAACTGCCCGGCG